CTTAAAGCGGCCGCCATTTGGCTATCGTTAATGAGATCATGAAACAAATGCACATACATATTTGTGACATGATGTACCTTGTGTGTGTGAAGTTTGAACTCGATCAATCCAAGCATGTCTCAGATACGGATCCAGAACTGAATTCTTTAAAACAAAATGGCCGCCAGTCGGCCATTTCGAACCCGATCCAAAAAAAAAAATGACGTGCATCAAGGTCCTATTATGTTTAATGTATGTACCAAATTTGAACAAAATCCATCCATGCATAACTGAGATCCGGGTCCGGAATGGTGAAAATGTGTGATTTTGATGCATTTTCGGCCTTAAAATGGCCGCTATTCGGCTATCGTTAATCGGATCATGAAAAAAATGCATGTGCATATGTCCCATATAAGGTGTGATGTATGAGTGAAGTTTGAACTTAATCGGTCCATGCATGTTCGAGATACAGGTGATCACGGACGCACGGACGCACACAGGGCAAAACATAAGTCCCCGTTTTCGGACTGCGTCCGAACGGGGACTAATTACAAATACTCGCGGTAAACTACCGGTGTTTTTTACTTCTACCATCTATTCAACAGTGCAGTTTGATATTCCTGTGTCTAACATCAACAAGACACATAAACCTTAGACACAAACCCTGAACAGAATGCGTAATCTTTTGAATGTGGTTAGATTTCAGCCCCACCTTCCTGTGTTCGATAGCTAGTTGTAGCTAATGTGATCGATGCTATGTACAACACTGTATCGATAACTGGCTGAAATGGAAAATTATTGCATGGCTCGCTCAATACTTTGGTGAGGGGGACATTCAGAGTTTATATCTACTGGTAATGAACAAAATAACTGGAAATGCTTTATTGATTATTATTCACTGTGTAATGAAATATAATGTTTGATTCATTTATCACTTAATCAATTTACTGAACAAATGGTAATTTCCTTGCATATTTGACATGCTGTGGCGAACACCAATGTAACCCAGGCCTCAACAATAAAGTCCTGGAGCCGCATTATACAGGGTTCAGGCAGAGGTAATGTATGTTCAACTTCTTTGCTTCTATGGCTTTCCAAGTGAAAATAAATTATTGAAGTGTACCCTAAATTTATATTTGTCTGAAATCTGTTGAATCACTCTGTGGGAACTTAATTATTCTGTCTCTGGCATTGGCCACGATATCATAAATAATTAACATTTCTATGTCTTGGCTGATGAATCTTCCATTGTCATGCTACCATTGTATGCTACTCTGACAATGAAAATGGAAAAGAAGAAGTCTGGGATGTAACGTTACAAGATTTGTAGTTTCTTTTATTGTTGCAACATTGCAAGAGCCATATTAAGTTATTAAGTGCGTTTTGATTGCAGAAGTAATACAATCTTAATGTGCCAACAAAATCATTGTAAGAATTTTTTTTTTTTTTTAAATTAGCGACATCACAGATTAGTTAAATTAGTTAAAATAAGGTGCTAGGTAAAAAGACCTTGCGACTGTGTGTACGCAGTAACAGTCCTGGAAGCAAAGCAAAGATGAATGCAGTCTTGTGGGAGATTTTTATTGGTTCGTTTTTGCAGAAAGTATGGTCTAGCATGGGGGTCCACATTTCAGGTCGAAATTGGTCTGAAAAGGGGACTGGGTTATGACCAGGGGGGCTACACCACAGTCACTTGGGGGCTGAAAATCAATATATAAATATATATTTATTTATATACGTATAGCGGATGATTTGAAAATTAGTATTTATTGATTTTCAGCCCCCAAGTGACTGTGGGCTACACACACCTACCATAGCTGGGGGCAAGTTACTGTTAAGTGTGCGATCCCTGGGATTAAGCATCCTTTAACATACCAAGTGTTCTTCATCAAGTGAAAGTTTTTTTTTTCATTCGTTAGTTCAGCTTTGCTAACTCTATTCTGTAATATGTACATGCATGATACGTGTAGATCCATCATGCATTGCACTATGATAATCAAGACCAATAATGCGTGGAAAAAAATTAAAATAGATCAAACTAGACTTTGGAGGATCCACCTCGGCGGTATTACAACTATAAAACAAAACTTATCTACTGAGACGAGTGACCAATTAGTCATAGCTCTTATTGGAGTCCGTGCACTGGTCGCAGTAAAACTGACAACAGGTTACACATTTGCCCAACGGTGAATAAAAGGCAGGGGCAATCCAACATGACTGCGAAGTCGGCGTCGATCGTCACCGGCGATCTGCAAATCATATCCTGCTGTTCGGCGATTGTTTCTTGTGACCTTTATGGACCACGTCATGGATCGACACACAATAACACTGACTGTGACATACGATAGCGTGACAGTAGAAAATCTCACCTTTCTGCTGGCTTCGACCATATTCTTCAGCTCCTTGGGATTCCGTGAGCCTGAGGAAGCCATTTTGAAAACTTGTTTACATCGGTTACCATAATTACCGAACATGACCGACAAAAGCCGAGAATTAATCACAAGTTCGCGGCAGGTCGATAACTGCTTTAGTATCGTGGATTTATAGTACAGAAATAGACCATTTATCATGCCGATGAGGACACGTAAGTTAAATGTCAAGAAATTTGAAAAAAGAAATCACTTTATCAAAGATTTGTCCAAAAATGCATGAAATTTTTTGTTTTTTCTGTGATAATTGAAATTTTAATTTTTGCAATTGCACCATGGGACACAATTGTCTACAGTAATAGCTGGGCCATCAATAAATAGTTATCAAAGTGAAGGACATTATTCAGTTTTAATGACCTGATGAGGAAATTATTGACCAATGAGGATCATTATCAATTTGCCAGAAGATGTAAAGCCAGATTAATATGTAAAAGCAGTATACTTTACAGAACGTTTTTTTTTATAGAAATGTATGAAATATTACTGCATATTCAAAGTTCTTCAAATTAGTCACAGGTATATTTTTCAAATAATACTAGTATAGCTGGGTGGCGATTGCAGAGCGGTTTGGTTGCAGATTCAAGACAAGGTAATGAATACATTGATTTAATGCTGTTTTAAACACTGTTATCTAATACATGTAGTTACTCGTTTTATAAATTGATTAGTTGGAACCTATTCAAAATCTGACAGGACAAAGGTGACATCATTAAAAGATAATTAGTGAAAATGTTGGAGGTCCTAAATTCTATTATAGGTCTCAGACTGAATGCAAGGGTACTAACAGTTGAAAGTCTCATACTCGCACATGCTGTTTTGACTAAAGTTCTACTAGCACTTTCTAGTCACAAACATTCCCTTTAAATGAGCCATTGGTCCAAAGCCTTACTTGTGTCAATTTTTGCTATTTGGGACGTTTCATTTTTACAAAGAATGATCACATTATCAACAAACTTTCTTTGAAAATGCTTTGCCTTTTTCATATTACACATACCATACAGCAAGCACTCGGCTTATTTTGTATTTGTTTCATTAAACTCATATTACAAGCATGCATTAAATATGCTAGCAATATACAAAGTACCTTTCATAAAATTAAAAGATATTTTTAAGAACATGTTGAATTAAAAAAATACTAAAAAACAAGCTACTGTCATATTTATTTAGTATTCAACAGAATTAACTATTATTGGTAGTTTTCAAAATAACAATTTTTTACTAATATTCTCTAATATTGAAAGATTGAAGTGATAACCAAATGCACAAATATGATATATGCCCCCCTAAAGTGTCTGGTTTTTTTGTTTTGTCCGTTTGTTTTTAAGTGAAAATCAATCACTTTCTGTATAACACTTTTTTCACCCAAAATGACATATTATTCACTAAAAAATAGTATTCAAAAAATAATCTCTAAATGAACAAGTCTGGTTCACCAAAGGCTGATATCAAATATCAAAGCAATTGTGCTAATGGTTTTTAGGAAATATACAACAATGCAATTTTTTACCAAAAATGACAATATTCACCAAAATAGGAGAATTGATATTAATGTCATGAAAGAAACAAATCTGATAAAGGTTATACATTGTTTGTAACTTTGTGTCACCCTTTATTCAGGAATGCGACTTTTACATCAAATAATTTTAAATTAATATTATAGAAGCTCTTTAATGAATTTTATAACATTATAAACAACTATTTCTTTAATGTAGTTCCATGGTCAAGTGAATATAGAAAATATAGAATCTCATTAACCTTTTGAGCACCATTTCCCCCAACAACTTGGTGCAACATTTTGATTATATTCAGTGGGGACGGCACCTATATGGCGCAAAGGATGGTGAGCAGACCCCCCCCCCCCAATGCAAAATTTCGTGCCACCGCCTTTGATATTTAAATATTTGTTAATAATTTTGGTTGAAATGGACATACATGTAATTTTTTTATTGGCTTTCAGATCTTGATCTAAATGATGTAAAAATAATGTTTGTTTTTTTGAACGATGACAAAAGATGACTTACTGGTATAGTGAATACAGTTCGGGTGATCTGCTTCTTTTAAACCTGTTTATAAATGTGTTTTATTGATATTTTTGCAAATGGGTATTAATCAGAAATTACTCAAAGGCGACTAGGAAATTTATTATAATTTTTTTTGGGTGATGACATGGTGATGGTAGGACAGACTCAAAAACAAAATTTATAGAAACTCGAGCACATTAGAATGAGACATGTCTAAGATTTTAACTCAAAGACTTGTATAAAGATATATTCATAGAACCACAACCCCAAAACAAGTTTTTGGCCATTGTCATGGCAACAGCAGAACAGAACTATTTTTTTTTTTGCAGTTGTGACCTGCCAGTCAATTTTTTTTCAGATTTGACCACCTACTAGAGTGAAGTTTGAACGAAGTCGACCCAGCCAAAAGTTCACAGAAGAGTTAATACGCGAAGACAACGCACACACAAGTGATTATAAGGGCAATCCCATTAGAACAGACCGCCAAAAATTGCTATGTAGACAAACACTAATAAGATGATACAACTACAGAAATCATGGTTGGAGATCATGAATGTAAAGCCAAAAATAAAGGAGTTTGGGAAGACGGGGTTTTAAAATAATGGTTCTACTGAAAGTTTATCTATATAGAAAGAAGAAAAAAATATAAAAATACATTCAGACACATGCAGTCTCTCAATCGTCTATAGAAGGACTGTGATTCAGACTAAAGAAAAATGAACACAATCAAATGTGTCAAAAACCTTTGGAAATTTGTATGACTGATGTTAGTATAGTTATTAAACAGAGTAAAGAAGAAAAAAAATCAGGAAAAAATAGGAAATCTCTGAAAGGACTAGACGAATGGGTAATCTATTTTAATATCTAATTTCATAGAAGAAATAAATTTTGACAATACAGCTCATAATCCCATACATGGCAAGTTTTCCATGCAAGCACAGCAGTGAATCAGTGCATGGGCCCAGATTTTGACCATACAGCTCATAATCCCATAACATGGCAAGTTTTCCATGCAAGCACAGCAGTGAATCAGTGCATGGGCCCAGATTTTGACCATACAGCTCATAATCCCATAACATGGCAAGTTTTCCATGCAAGCACAGCAGTGAATCAGTGCATGGGCTCAGATTTTGACAATACAGCTCATAATCCTATACATGGCAAGTTTTCCATGCAAGCACAGCAGTGAATCAGTGCATGGGCCCAGATTTTGACAATACAGCTCATAATCCCATAACATGGCAAGTTTTCCATGCAAGCACAGCAGTGAATCAGTGCATGGGCCCAGATTTTGACCATACAGCTCATAATCCCATAACATGGCAAGTTTTCCATGCAAGCACAGCAGTGAATCAGTGCATGGGCTCAGATTTTGACAATACAGCTCATAATCCCATAACATGGCAAGTTTTCCATGCAAGCACAGCAGTGAATCAGTGCATGGGCCCAGATTTTGACCATACAGCTCATAATCCCATACATGGCAAGTTTTCCATGCAAGCACAGCAGTGAATCAGTGCATGGGCCCAGATTTTGACCATACAGCTCATAATCCCATAACATGGCAAGTTTTCCATGCAAGCACAGCAGTGAATCAGTGCATGGGCTCAGATTTTGACCATACATAATACCTTGACATAGTTACACAACACAGTAGTTTTCACAGTAAAAATTTATTCAACTATAACATACTACCCAACAATTTGGGATTATGTACACAAAGTAAAATTATATAATCTTAAATTTAAACTTTAAAAAAAAAAATGTGCAGTCGGCACATCAATGATTTCGCTAAAAACGTTATGGTAATTGATCACCACCCTTTGCAAGTTGTATAAAAGCTATTAACTAAAATACAATAATTGTGTACAGTATAAAACTGGCCTTTAATAAGAAAGTAGTGCTAAATCAACTAAATTTTGTCTTTGTACAGTATACTGGTGATAAAAATGCTGGTCCATTGCAATTATGTGTTAGAACGTCAACTTGGTGGGTTATCTGCAAATGCCATTTTTTTTTCAATATTTATATGCCAAACCCTACTGTCCCATAGGACATAGCAACAGCAATACTGAATTAGGCCAGACTTATTTTATTCCTTGTTTCTAGAGTTTTTATAAGGCAATTTTTTTGAGGAGTCGGGGAAAAAAAAATTAATTTCCATTAGATTTGTGTGATTCTCAAAGAATTGTAAGTGAGATAAAATTTTATTCCATATATAAACTTGTTTCTCATCTGCACGAGACTTAAGTACTTCGATCATGATACTCCCATGAAAATGCAACTTGGGTTTGTTATGTGGCGGGCGGAAAAAAAATGAAGATACAAACAAGTTTTTTTTAGCATTTTTT